AAAAAAAAAACGAAATGGCGTCGGAATCGGCGATGCATTTCCACCGAGAGGCGGCCAATGCACCAACAGGCGACCCCTCTCTTCCGTCACCCGGCACTCTCTCTCGACACGATCCGCTTGGGCCACTCGCACTCGTTCCTCCACCACGCCTTCTCATCTCCCTACGCGCGCCATCCGCTGGCTCAACTTGAGTCGCAAAGTCGCTTGTCGACAGCCTCATCGTGCCTCCGTCCGGACGCCGCCATCCACGCCATTCAGGAGGTCAGCGTGGCATGCGCCTCGGCGACTACGCACATCATGTTTGACGACTTTGTTCAGAGCTCCGCGGCTCCACGCACTCCACCAATGCACAAGGCGTCCAACCAGTATGCCGACAGTCCAGCCACCAATGGTCATCACGCAAACGGCCATGGTGCACGCCGCGGCTTTGCAATGAACGACGGCTTCGACGCAAACGAGTTTGAGCCGCGCGGCGGTCGCTCCTCCAATGAGCTCAGCGATGGAGCTGGAGGCGGCTTCGATACCGCCACCTCCGCGCTCCTGGACCCCATCGCCGCCCTCGAGACAGGCTTCATCTCGTCGGACGCAGGTCCATCCTCGCACTCGGATCCTATCTTTCAACTCGGCCGCGTCCAGTACGCTTTCAGCGCACCGCTCGCCCTCATGACGGTCTCCTCCAACATCCTCACAATGTGCCTCTACACCTACCCCAGCCCGTCTCAAGCTGCGAGTCCGTTTCCCGTCGCACCGCCCAAGCTCGTGCGCATCAATCTCGACGATCCCGAGCATACTCAGGAAGCAGACGTTCCAATCCCACCCGCCCCTCGCTCCGCACGCAACGCACCTCCCTCGGATCCTAGCACCATCGGCCCACACAAGATGTTTGCCGACCCCTCCGGTCTCCACTTAGTCCTCGCCATGCGCAACGGCGACAACTACTACTGGGCCTCTGGATGGAGAAAGGCCCGGCTGCTGCCCAAGCTCAAGGGCCACATCATCGAGAGCGTAGCATGGAACAAGGACAGCACAAGTTCAGCATCCGATTCTAGCTCCTCCGCCTCCCGAAGACGTGCTGCAGGTGGAGCATCGTCGCTATCGTCGACGCGTGAGATCCTCATCGGCACACGGTCCGGCGACATCTACGAAGCTCTCATCACAGCCCCTCTCGGCACCGATCCAGACGACGGCGACTTTTTCGACAAGATCGCCCGTCGGACGGCGGGGAACGGCGCAGAGCGCGGCGACGTCGATCGTGTCGTGCGCCATATGATCGCTTTGCCCGAACGCCAGCCGGTCACAGGCCTTCATGCCGAGTCCTTTCCCCGCTCCGCTGGCACGACAAATGCCAATGCGCCAGCCGCCTCGACATCCAGCGAGCTGCGCAGAGCCGTCGTCATCGCTACTACTAGCACGCGCATATACGAATTCGTAGGCGTTCTCTCAAAATCCCGCTCCGACGAGTCCGAGGCCCACTCGCTCTACGACAAGCTCTTCCTCCCATACCGCGGCGACGCATCGCCCAACCTCAAGTCCGAGCTGCCCGGCGACCTTCCCTACTCGGAACTGCATACCTGGACCTCGGCCTCCTCTAGGCACGCTTCGGCCTTGGCGTGGCTCACAGGGCCTGGTGTGTACCATGGTCTGCTTTCGTACCCCTCGGATGCAACAGCGGGTGACAGCGTCGTCGAATCAGCCAACCTGCTGCCCTATCCCGCCGTTGCCATCGAGGACGATCTCGGCGGCAGCCCGAACAAGCGACGCAGCCGCTTGAGCACGGCCTCTGCCGCCGACACGAGCGCATTTGGCCAAGCCGCCGCACCCATCACCGAAATCCCGCTCAGCATCGCCCTCACGGAATTCCACTTTATCCTGCTCTACCACGACCGCGTCATGGCCATCAGCTCGCTCGACGACCAGGTCATCTTCGAGGAGGCGCTCCCGCTCAAGTCCAACGAGCGCGTCATCGGCACCGCCATCGACGTCGCCAAGCGCACCTACTGGATCTACACCGACGCCAGCATCTTTGAGCTCGTCATGCGCGACGAGGCGCGTCACGTCTGGCGCGTCTATCTCGACCGCGGCTCGTTCGACGCTGCGCTCAAGTATGCCAAGCCGGGCATTCAGCGTGGCACGGTGCTGTCGTTCCAGGGCGACCGCTATTTTGCCGAGGCCAAGTACATCCAGGCAGCCCAGTGCTATGCGCAGACGTTCATGCGTGCATTCGAGGAAATCGTGCTGCGCTTCACCGATGCCGATCAGCGCGACGCTCTGCGCTACTACCTCGTCATGCGCCTCGAGCGCCTCGACAAGACGCACGATGTCGCGCAGCGCGTCATGCTCGCTACCTGGCTCGTCGAGACCTACCTCAGCAAGATCAACCAGCTCGAAGACGTCGCAGCCGCCGAGGCCGCCAGTCAGGACGTCGACAACTACCGCCTCGAGATCTCCATGATCACCGAAGAGCTCTACCAGTTCCTCACCACCTACCGCTCGCTTTTGGATGCAAGCACGACGTTCGATCTCATCAAGAAACACGGCCGCTCCGACGTCTACCTGCAGTTCGCCTCGGTCATTGGCGATCACGAGCGCATCGTGCGACATCACGTCCAGGAGCGCCAGTGGACCAAGGCCATCGATGCCATCAACAGGCAAGACTCGCTCGAGCTTTACTATCGCTTTGCGTCGGTGCTCATGCAGAATGCGCCCGCCCAAACCGTCGACTGCTGGTCGCGTCAGGCCAGGCTGGATGCGCGCAAGCTCATCCCGGCGCTGCTGCAGCACAAGCCCGATCTGGAGCTCGGCGAGACGGATCAGGCTGTCAAGTACCTCTCTGGGCTGATCGCCGGCAAGAACGGCAGCAAGGACACGGCGATCCATAATCTCCTGCTCACGCTGCTCGCGCGGCGGGCATCACGATATTCGAGCAGGCAGGACACCAAGCAGGAGCTGCTGCGCTTCATCGACGAGGCGCGCGCGAATCCGCTCACGGGCCATCCGTACTTTGACCTCGACTATGCGCTGCGCACGTGTCTGTCGCAGGGGCAGATGGAGGCGTGCGTGCGCATCTACGCCAAGATGGGTCTGTTTGAGTCGGCCGTCGAGCTGGCCATCCGGCAGGGCGAGATCGAGCTCGCGTGCAGCTGCGCCGACATGGCCGAGTCGATGGAGCGCGAGCTGCGCAAGAAACTCTGGCTCAAAGTGGCCAAGGAGGTGGTGCGCAAGGAGTCGGACATCAAGTCGGCCATGGCGTTCCTGCGTCGCACCGATCTCATCGCCATCGAAGACGTGCTGCCGTTCTTCCCGGACTTTGCGGTGATCGACGACTGCAAGGACGACATCTGCGAGGCGCTCGAGGGTTATGCGGCGCACATCGAGGAGCTCAAGGACGAGATGGACGAGGCGTCGCGCTCGGCGGCGGCGATCCAGCAGGATATCGCCAAGCTCAGCGAGCGATTCGTCACGATCGAGCCGGACCACAAGTGCGACCACTGCACGCAGACGCTCGTTCAGCGTCAGTTCTACATCTTCCCGTGCCGACATGGGTTCCATGCCGACTGCCTGATTGGCCAGGTGACCAAGACCATGTCGACGCGCAGCCTGCGCAAGCTGCTCGAGCTGCAGCAGCAGATCTCGGCGCTGACGAGCGGACTGGTACCGGCGCTGCCGAGCTCGGCGCTCGCCAACATGGGCTTCCTCAAGGATCCGTCCAAGGCCGTGGTGAGCGCGGCGCAGGGGGCGAGCAAGGCCGGGCTGAGCGGTCTGCAAGCGGGTGCGCGCGGCCTGGGCAATGTGACGGCAGCGGTGGGTTTGGACAAGCTGCGTGAACTGGTGGTGCCGGACGCGGTGATCAGTGCCATCTCGGCTGGCGTCAGCGTGAGCGTCGCAGGCGGACGCAGGGTGCTGGCGCCCTTAGATCCATTTTCCAACCCGACGACGGATTGGGTCGCTGGCTCGCGTACAGCTGCACAGCGCAGGGCGGCTGCTCTGATCGCATCCAACGACTCGAGCGAGGCCAACGGCAGCATTGCAGACGGAAACGCAGCCAAGACCGCCATGGGCACATATCGTAGCGTCGAGGATCAGGAGAGGATTCAGCAGCTGCGCGACCAGCTTGATGCACTCATTGCAGGCAGCTGCCCCATGTGCGATGGCACCGCCAATGCTATCGGCCGACAGTTTGTCTCGGACAAGGAGGCCGCCGAGGAGTGGGCGTTGTAGGCTGTCGTCTCTCGAGTCGCTTTGGAATCCATTACGTATTCGAGTGGCCATTGTTCGAGCCGACCTATGAAAGAGAGAGACACGTTTGCGAGGGGGAGAGAGGAAAGAAAGAGGCTGCATCGAGGGGGTTGGGAATTTCGAAGCTGACAATGTTACGCCTCATCGAGCGTACAAAATGCAAATTTGAAATTTGGTCTCCTTTCGGACGACAGCAGCGCGCGCGTCGGCTCGACGGCGGCGAGACGTGGAAGATGGGCAGGAAGAACGGCCAGACGCACGGCCCAAGTGCGGCGGTTTGGCGTTGGCAACGGCGTCAGCAACGGCAACGGCAGAAAGCGTGCCACCCAAGGCTAGTCAGTCGGTAGCAAGTCTTGACCCTCATTGCTTCCACCACCCCTCCTCGCCCCATCACCGACAACCACTGCTCACGCACGAAGAATCCTGTCTTTCCAGGATTGCTGCTTCGTGGTCGTGTGACTCTTCTCGGTTCCGCCATGTCGGTCGGCTCGTCAAACAAGGCGGCGACAGCCGTTCATGGCTCGTCCCGCTCCGCCTACCGTCTGCCCACGCTGTCATCCGAAGCCAACAAGAATGTGCTCTCGCTCCTGCGTCTCATCATCATCTTCCTCATCGCTGGTGCCGCCATCTCGTCGCGTCTCTTCGCCGTGGTCCGCCACGAGAGCATCATCCACGAGTTCGACCCCTGGTTCAACTTCAGGGCCACCAAGGTGCTCACCACCGACGGCTTCTACCGCTTTTGGAACTGGTTCGATGCTACCGCCTGGTATCCGCTCGGCCGTGCTGCCGGAGGCACTGCCTATCCCGGTCTCATGGTCACGTCCGGAGCCATCTACAACCTCTTCCACTCGCTCAACATCCCCGTCGACATCCGAAACATCTGCGTGCTCCTCGCTCCCGCCTTCTCCGGCCTGACCGCATGGGCCACCTACATGTTCACCGCAGCCATGAAGGACGATGCAGCCGGTCTGCTCGCCGCCGCATTCATCGGCATCGCCCCCGGATACATCTCGCGTTCCGTCGCCGGATCGTACGATAACGAGGCCATCGCCATCTTCCTGCTCATGATGACCTTCTACCTGTGGATCAAGGCGCTCAAGGACGGCTCCGCCCTCTGGGGCGTGGCTACGGCGCTCTTCTACTTTTACATGGTGGCCGCCTGGGGTGGCTACGTGTTCATCACCAACATGATCCCGCTGCATGTGCTTGTGCTCCTCCTCATGGGCAGATTCAGCTCGCGCCTCTACGTGTCCTACTCGAGCTTCTACGCGCTCGGCACCCTTGCTTCCATGCAGGTGCCCTTCGTCGGTTTCCAGCCAGTGCGCACCAGCGAGCACATGGCCGCCCTCGGCGTCTTTGGTCTGCTCCAGCTCGTCGCCTTTGTCGACCTCGTCCGTTCCCACGTGCCCGGCAAGCAGTTCAGGCTGTTGCTCGTCGGCTTTGTCATTGTGGTCGCCACGCTCGCCTTTGGTGCACTGGTGGCGCTCACCTATGCCGGCTACGTCGCACCTTGGACCGGCCGCTTCTACTCGCTCTGGGACACGGCCTACGCCAAGAAGCATATCCCCATCATCGCCTCGGTCTCGGAACACCAGCCTCCCGCATGGCCCGCGTTCTTCTTCGACCTCGAGATGCTCATCTTCCTCTTCCCCGTCGGCGTCTTTTTGCTCTTCAAGGAGCTGCGCGACGAGCACGTCTTTGTCATCATCTACGCCGTCATGGCGAGCTACTTTGCCGGCGTCATGGTGCGTCTCATGCTCACGCTCACGCCGGTGGTCTGCGTCAGCGCCGCCATCGCCATGAGCACGCTGCTCCAGACCTACCTCGACCCCAAGGAGCCCACCCCCCTCGACGCTGCCACCGAGCCTGACTCTGACAGCAACGACGAGCCGGTTGCCAAGGCGACACGATCGGCCAAGAAGGCCGTGGCCACCGCGGCTGCGAGCGTCAGCGCGGCGGTCGAGGGCTCGGACGTGGATGCTTCGCGTCCCGCATCGCCGCAGTTCGGCGCATCCTCGTACGTCAGCTCCAAGTTCGGCGTGTTTGGGCTGGACTCGCGCTTCTTTGTGACGATCTACTCGCTGCTGTTGCTGCTGGTATTTGTGCTGCACTGCACGTTTGTGACCTCGACGGCGTACTCGTCGCCGTCGGTGGTGCTGGCCTCGCGCAATGCCGATGGCTCGCAGCACATCATCGACGACTTCCGCGAGGCGTACTACTGGCTGCGCCAGAACACACCCTCGGATGCCAAGGTCATGTCGTGGTGGGACTATGGCTACCAGATTTCGGGCATGGCGGATCGGCCGACGCTGGTGGACAACAACACGTGGAACAACACGCACATCGCCACTGTGGGTAAGGCCATGTGTTCGCCCGAGGAAAAATCGTACCCGATCCTGCAGAAGCACGACGTCGACTATGTCCTCATCATCTTCGGTGGTCTGCTGGGCTTTTCGGGCGACGACATCAACAAGTATCTCTGGATGATTCGTATCGCACAGGGCGTTTGGCCCGACGAGGTGCGCGAGGCCGACTTCTTCACGCCCCAGGGTCAGTACAAGATCGACGACGGCGCTACCAAGACGATGCGCGAGAGCCTCATGTACAAGATGAGCTACTACCGCTTCAACGATCTCTTTGGCGGTAGGCCGGGCATGGATCGGGTGAGGCAGAGTCCTGGACCCACCAAGAGCCCCGAGTTGGACTACCTGGACGAGGCGTTTACGTCGGAGAACTGGATCGTGCGCATCTACCAGGTGAAGAAACCGGATGCGCTCGGTAGAGACCTGCCGAGCGCTAAGGGTTTTGATGCAGGTAAGCGTCGCAAGCGCGCATTTGCTCTGCCTGCCTCGGCCTCGGCTTCCGCGGGTACAGAGCAAAAGACAAGAAGGAAGAACAAGTAAACTCCCCCCTCTGATGTAATGACAACTGTTTTGGCCACCTCGGACTGTGTGTGTGCATTTCAAACGCCCAACAAACGCGGAAGGGGACTGTCCAAGCGCGGCCACGGTGCCGCAAAGCTACTTGGGCAGTCTTCGGATGCATGCCTGCACATCGTGTGGCGCCGCGGCAAGATTGTCTGCTCGACTGCTTCTCATGAGCTCCGTGGCGCGGTGCGTGGCTTTCGCTCGCGTCTGATCGGCTGTACGGCTGTGATGATGCGAGGAAGGTCAAACATCATACACGCTCGGGTCTTCGTCAGTTTGAGCGACATTCTTTTTGCGTTTCTTTTTTCAGCATCTTTCCCTCAAAGAATAAAATCTTTTTTTGATGAGATGGTGGGGTCTTTTTTGAATGACCGGGTGTCGATCAAGTGGCTTTCAAGGTCCCCGCTGAAACAATTGTAGAGCGCCAAACACGGCTTTGCCTTGTTCTTCGTCCCAGCTCCTCTTTGCTGTACTGTGGTTTATGCATTACCTTGCATGGCCGGAGCCAGTGGGAGAAAGAGGCATGTTGTTCCAACCAACATGCTTGTGGGCTGATGGTGATTTGCGCTGCAAGAACAATAGGTGGCTACAATGCAGGCCGGGTCAGGTTGCTGTCCACGCTACAGCGGCCCACCTCCCACCATTGCCGGGATGCATGGCACCGTAAAGCCGCTGTACCCACTCTCCTCTGGCCTTTCATATAAGTCATCGGCTATCGTTGCCCCGCCCCGCAGAATGAAGCACGCACGATCACGCCACCGAGGTGCGTGCTGGCAGCCCTCTCGGCACAACAGCTCTTTCTGCTCCCTGAAAAGAAGTTTCTCGAGATCGAGTGAGCCCCACCATTGGTGGCAAAAATTTGCAGCCGTTGTCGATTGCTCTCTCCGTGAGTCCTGGTCTGAGCCGAGCCTCTCATCTCTCTCAATGAAGACTTGGACAGCCAAATCTCGAGAGTCACAACGAGAATGAGTCTTGGCGTTTTTCTCTCGACCTGGAAACGCATAAATAAGACAGTGTGGATTGGTTGCAGCTCCTCAGACATTTCGTAGTGGTAGCCTTGGCTTCTTTCTCGTCCTTCTCAACCGTTATCTCCACTATGCGCGGGCTCTTCGTCCTGCTTTTCCTCTTTGCCTCGATCTTCCATGGCGCTTTAGCCGCGCGAGGAAATCCCTCAACGGCGGAGGAGGAGCACAGGTTCGAGATCGAACGATACCCTCCTTACGAGCGCCAAGACTATGTGCGAAGATTCCGTGAACACGTACACAACGATCTTGGTCTTACTCAAGTGCGGCTGGGAAACGTGAGAGATGCTCCAGTCACTTCCGACCAGCTGGCCTCCCACCTGATCCTCGACAAGCACCAGCGTCGACTGATCTATCTCGGTCACACGGAACCCCAACTCTCAGACATGGTCATCGCTTCCCCGCTCAGCGGAGGTACGTCAGACGATTCCAAGTTGTTTTCGATCTTCAGTGCTCACAAGAACCCTCAGAGAGCTGGTCATGCCAAGCTCAAGGCTTATGGCTTCATCAAGGTTGAGAATCCAGGTCCCCTCTTGCAGCACATGGACAACGCCCGCGGCACTCAAGGACTAGCGCTCGAAAAAGGCCATGTACTCAAGCTGGGAGAAATGCTCGATGAGCTCCCCATGCTCTTCCCGCCAGGCTGGAATGGAAGGCCTCCACTCCGCTGAAAGGGCGAATTGGTGCCATGATCGCAGGCTTGCTCTTCCACTTTGTCTGGCAAAACGTTACTCTTATGGTATCGCTTGATGCGATTGCCTTCATCTGCTTCAGAAAAGAATGTCAGAAACTTATCTGCTGCCGCCCAGCACCGCCTACAGCTTGTATTCTTGGGCTCCACTTCCGTGAGGCATCATGCATTGACCTGCGACCATTGAGCTCATGGACACGCTGTAAAAATGTCCCCTTCTTCTACTATCCTTATCTGTACGCCACACTGGCGCCCTAGATGCCGAAGCGCCTCGTTGCATGCGGGATCCCTATCAAATCTACAGGAGCTTGCGCGGCTGCATCAACTTCAGCTCACATTCCAAGTCGGCAACGACAACGACATTGAGGTTTGTAGATTCTCAGCGATCCCACTTGGGTTCGGAGACTCACATAGGCGGAATCCTCTGAGGGCAAGGCCGACACAAGGCGTAGATAAGCGGGCGAAGCTCTCAGCAGATTCACTCTGCATGTCACGACAGGCTTTGCTCAAACGACGCTCGAGCTTTTATTGATAGCTGAGTGAAAGCGACGCTCTCTTGTGCACATCTCCGACTGTCGCTCCGAAAAACGCCAATCAGCCACAGACTACAGAGCTTCATATGGTGATCCGACTTGCATACCGTAGACAGACACGGACCATGACCTGCACGACCTGCATGGCGCTGCCCGGTTGATGCTACGCCTTTCGTCGGGCTCTAAAGCCGATTAAGAGCTAAATGGCAGCCAATCTAGGTGGCGAGCGCGCCGCCCGCGCTTCCTGAAGTTCTTGCGGCCCGAAGCTCCGACGTCCACTTTTGGTGCAAGGCTCGAGCCCGTCGGTTGTACCACATGTTCCACTGCAATCCTGTGATGTCAAAATGGGGATTGGTACCAGCTGTGAGGCAGCGAGCCCCGGATGCAAACATCGAGTACAGGGCAAAAGCTCGACGGGGTCAGTACTGTGAGACGAGAAGGCAGTTCATTCGTACGCAACTTACCTCTCTGACGCTGGCGAAAGACGTCGTGGAAGAAAAGCTCGACGGCATCTTTGTCTGGTACCGGGTATAAGTCTGCAAGAATAGCGTCCGACGCAGGGTCATAAAGTGCTCCAAATAAGGACACGATGCAGAACGAGACTCCCCACTCACACTGAGTTCGCTGAATGCCGTCCATGATCAGACCCTTGAGGTTAGTGACAGCTGACTCGAGCGTGGAACCTTGACTCCACAGGACGCTGTTGTCAGGGACGCGGTAAGCACAGACCCCGAGAAGCGGAAGAGCAACCAGAGTAAGCGCTGCGACGAGGATGGTTTTGGTCCACATAGCGATCGACGAGAGAGGAGGGAACGTTGCCAGTTGCAGGCTCGCCATGTATGTCAAACCAAATAGACCGTTTATGTACTTTCTCCGAAGCGAGCAGAGACATCCCTCTGACCAGCTACAGCTCTTGACGAAGCAAGTGATTTGATGATGCTGTCGCGAAGCATGACAACGGCCGAAAGCTGTCACATTAACACGAGCAACCGAAAGCATCGTATTCGCGAGCAAGCTTGTTGCTTGAAAATTGACGTGGAAGCTTGAGGCTACCGTGATTACCTACGTTCACCTCGTGCAGAATCACACTGTAGGCTATGCATGTTGTTTGTGACGGCTCGAGCACTCATCTCTCCATATAATGTGCTGCGGAGTCAGCCGAGGGTTGCTCTCCTCGGCCATTGAGCAAGCCTCTGTCACTGCATAACTCGAGAACGGCAAGTTTCATGCAAGAGATACACGGCTGCCGATCTTGCCGATGCAGATGAACAGAAGCGACTCCTCGACACTTGCAGGCTTGCTCTGCTGGCATTCTGATGGGAAGAATACCAAGCACACATCCCGAAAAGCCGTGTCGCCTTGGCCACCCTTACCAATGATGACTTCCTTTTCGCATGAGCTTCAGCCTGGTGGTTGTCTCTGGCACATCATCGTCAACGGACCCGCTTGGACTCTCTGCAGATTGCAAGACCCATTCCCCACCCTTAGAGTCTTGGGACTTCACTTGACTTGGTTGGGCGTGCGGCGTCGACATTTGTGGGCGTCAAATTCCGTTTACGCCCACTTTTACGAGGAGGCTCGAAGCTATCGCCGAGTTGGAATGTGGCACAGCCCACAGATGAAGCTACTACTCTGCATGAGCACGGCCCCGCATCTGCACACAGCTCCTTTATCTCACACCATCAGGCAATGAAGTCTGCCCCAAAAGAATGGGTGCTTGCCATGCCAAGATGGGTTGAAGTGCTGATCGAACTTGGTCAAGCCTGCTTGTGGGAACATTCGCCACAGAAAAGTCTTTCGAGACTGTGAGCTCTTCGATCTCAGGCCTTTGTACTGGGAAATATAAGGAGGGAGGAGCGCTAGAACCTGTCTCACTGCTCTTTCACCCTCAACCTGACCTCGTCCTCCACCCATCAAGTTTCAGGATCGAACACTAAGATGCTCGCGAAGCCCAAGTTCATCGTCATCTCGGTGTCCCTCGCTCTTGTGCTGATGTTCAGCGTCGTGTCCGCCCATTACCCCGGCGCTTCCGATCTGGACATCAACTTGAATGGATACGAAGCGCTTTGTGGC